CTTCTCTGTAACATAAAAATGACTTAGCCCAATTCTACCATTTTGTTGATTCAGTTAGATCACATTTCTCTTCCTTCATGTTTCTCAAGTGTATCCACATGTACACACGTGGACGTCCAGATTTTAGAAGACGAGAGTTCCAGGTTTATATTTATATGAATATCAGCTTTGGGGACATTTGCTTTCTAATTTGTTTCTTCTAGTTCCTTAATTCTCTTCTAAATCTTGGACTATATTCTATACTTTAGTTGAAATATTGGCCTCATCCAGCATATTATAAAAGTTTTCCACTGACAGTCAAATCACATTTTATATTTTAGCTGCTTAATTTTACTAGCAGGCACAGATGACTGTATTTTAAGCAACTGTCAGGTATTCAATATTTGGTCTTATGTCATTTTGACTGATGAAAGATTGTAATATAAGATTAAAAATTGTAGCAGGAAAAATAGACTTCACATTTTGGGGAACAGGTATTTGTGTTTTTTCAGCTGACCAATTATATTTGAATTAATTCATGTGGAGTTACCTAAAGGTATGAAATAAGTTGATGCTATAAATATTCAGATTTTTTTTTTTTTTTTTTTTTTTTTTTTTGAAACAAGCTCTCACTATGCAATCCAGGTTGGCCTTGAGCGCACTTCGTAGCCCAGGCTGGTCTCAAACGTGCAACAATTCTCCTGCCTCAGTCTCCCAAATGCTGGGATTACAGGTGTGCTCTACCACATCTGGCATAATATTCAGAACGTTTATGGTCCATTGTCATTGATATTCTTCTCTTCATAAACACTATTAGAAATGCATGAATGTAGAAAATTAAGAAGCATTTGATAATACAAAAAATGTCTACTTGAAAAATGCACAAAAACACATTCAGACAGGACTTTTGATGGGATCAGTCCTCCAGGGACTTCCCTTTCTCATTTCTGTTATGCAGAACCAGTGCTTCAGGGTCAAAGGGCAGAGGATATCACCAACCAAGAATCCTTCCAGGTCCACGAAAACATGCACCTTCTGCTCCCTGTGCACGCACATGAAATGAAGAACATGGAAAACAAAATTCTCACCCACAACAAACATAATGGGAGGTCCGTGAAAAGCTGAGACCGATCTCACACTTGTACACTACTTTCTCTGTTTATGAAGCTTCCCTCCCCCGCCACATGATTGACTTGATTCTTAACTTCATGAGCTCAGTAAATGGGGTTACTAGACTCATTTTCACATGACGAAAGTGATGTTTAAAGAGATCAACTGACATCCTCATAGTCAAATTTTGGTTCTGCCAAGGCAAGCTTAGAATTAGGTTTTCTGATTTCTTGATATTCTTTGTACTACACCATATTGCTTTATTTATTTATTTATTTTGTGTGTGCGGCCAGCTCAGCCCACCAGGGGGCGGGGCTGGCTGGCATGTGGTGCTGGGGGATTGAACCGCGGTCCCTGTGCTTTGCTTAGCTTAGTTTGTTCTAAGTAGGTGCCTTAGACCACTGAGCCATCTCACCAACCCCAACACCATATTGCTTTGCAAACAGATCAAGCAAAGATAGATGAACAGCAAAAGTTACCGGATTCCAAAAAGGCCTGAAGCAAGCGTGAAAAATGGAACTTGGTGTCCTCTGTCGATAGGAACAGTTTCTAGAACAGGACAGACACGTGTTACACAATGCTCGACACTGTGATCAGAAGGTCCCTTCCAAGTGAGAAGTTTAATGACTAAATTCAGAGCTAGAAAATTAGAACTTAAAAATTAGAGTACTTGAAAGCCGTTTTATTCCCTTAACTGATTATTCTATCTTCCCTCGGATTGATAAGATTGCAAAACGCAGTTAGAATGCCAAATATATCAAGCACCTACTGTTTATTTTCATTGTCCAGAAAAAGCCTTTGTATACTCTCATACTGGAAATGGCAAAACTTGAAAATTTACTTAGACAGAAATGCTGTTACAAAAAACATTCTATTGCACTACTGATAATTTTTTTTTCTACTGATAATTTTGATGATGGTTTAAAGTAAATTGCATTTCTCGTGCTTGCTTTGGCAGCGCATATATTAAAGTAAATTGCATTTCTTTTTCTTTTTTCTTTTTTTCTTTTTTTTTTCAGAGCTGGGGATTGAACTCAGGCCCTTGCGCTTGCCAGGGAAGCGCTTATTCTACTGAGCTATCTCCCCGCCCTAGTAAATTGCATTTCTAAAAAGTCAGTATATAAAGAATTTTTTTGCCTAATTTTGCACAGTATAAGATAAAAACATTTGCTTCCGAGTGGTTGTATTTGTCTTCAGAAACACTTGTTTAAAATATTTTGTTTCAGTCCTTAGATATATTATAAAACAAAATTTTCAGGAGCAATAAATCAGGAAATAAAAATGAGTATAAGGCTTATTTTTCTTAGGTTCAAGCAAGAGTGAGGGAAGACACATAATTTCTGAGAATGGCAAGAAAACCTGGTGTCAGGGCCAGCCATATAGCTCAGCGGGTTGAAGCATTTGCAAGCAGGCGCAGGGCCGGGGATTGGATCCTTGGGCCTGCTGTGCCGGCCCATCCCTGCAGTGAGCTGAGATTGAGACTGGGTGTGGTGGCGCGTGCCTATAATCCCAGCTCTCGGGAGGCTGTAAACAGGAGGATCACTACTGATCTAGTAGTGAGACCCTGAACACCCTGTAGACCCTTCCCTAAAATACAACAACAACAACAACAACAACAAAGGGAGACTTAAAAAAAACATTAAAAAACCAAACAAACAAAAAACCTGGTGCCTTAAACAAAACTTGCTATTTCAGTCCTAGTCAATATTTCTAGGATTGTTTCTCTGCACGTGAACAGCGTACTCACATTAAATACACTTTACTATTCAGTAGCAACTCAAAAGAATATAACTCCTTTTGTATCTGTGTATTCAAAGTGGTTGGGATAGATATATAGTTGCATTCTCTTAATGAATAGAATGATTTTTTCTAATGGTGTTTGTAAGTAGGATC